GGAGGCAGCTGGCAATAAGTCTGTAACCTGTTGAAAATCCTTTACGTGACTCACGCGCAGTGCAAGTTTCTGACCCGTATAGAAGAACCGACTTCATATTGGTATTAAAAATGTGAATCTTGTTCCTTATGCTGAGGGCGTATCTGGCCTTTCTGATTCTGACTGGCTGGCTTTGACGTGTTCATCAGTGCCGGTTGCCTGTAGCTGAAACGATGCTGGCTGCCTAGATAAGTGAAGGAAGTAACCTCTGTTAAATCTCTCCCGTTGATGGCGATTGGTGTTGTTGGTTATCTTCATCACCTCCGTCTTCTCAACGTTCACCTGCAGTCCTGTTTTCGCTGCCAGCCTATTCAGCCAGTTTGTTAATTTCGCTTGCAAGTCTTCGAGTTATTGTGACATTAGACATATGTCATCCACGCGCGAAATCCAGATCTTTTAGAGTCTTCTTATCGGTCATCCAGCACATTCCTGACTCCTCACCCCCGACAGTCTGACGCATACTCCAGTCCACCACAATTTGGAATATCATCGGTAATAATAGACAAATAGCCTTGTCTTACTCCTGTAGGCACTTCGAACGCGTCGCTGAGTTTTCCGTTGTGGATCAACTGACACGTGGCATTGTCATATAGCAAGCGGTTGATAAAAACTTGGGCAGTGCACGCCATAGTGTTGAAGTAGTTTCCAAATTACTTCTCGGTCAACGCTGTCTGTCGAAGACCTTCTCGAAGTCGATGAACTTAAGGTTTGACTGCCATTCTATGCTTTGTTCGGTGATGACCATTCGTAGAGTTGCAATTTGATTAGCACATGATTTGCCTTACCCGAATCCAGCTTGTTCCTGTTGGCGCAGTTCTGTATCCAGTGCATCTTTTATCCTCTCCAGGACGATGCAACTTAATATTTTACTTGGTGTGTATAGGAGCATTATTCCACGCCAGTTCTTGCACAGGCCTAAGTCGCCCTTCTTTGGTAGTTTGACGAGGTAGCCCTTCTTCCAATCGGTAGGTACCTTTCCTTCTTTCCAAACTTCTTGCAGTAAAGGAGTGAGAACATCTGCCGTAATCTCTCAGTCCGTCTTCAGTGTTTCGGGAGGAATGCCGTCTAGTCCTACTGCCTTCCCGACTGGACTTCAGTAGCTTGATCACATTCAGGATTTCTTCTTTCATTGAAGGAGTAGTCTCCACTGGCAGGCAGTTCCATGTGTGCTGTTGGTGGTATTTCTGGGTGGCGAGTTGCCGGTAGTGGTCGATTCAAAAGTCCTTTATAGTGGTGATCAGCCCATTGTTTGATAATCAAGTAGTAAAACTGTATCTATCCTCTCCAAGTTCAAAAAGGGGCAGGGCAGGCATGACATTTCGTAACATTCCCTGTGTCTAATTGGTCCTTGAAAAGTTGATTTTCAAGGACGTTGACTTTGGCTATGTGATATAATTTAAGTAAATTGAAAATCCCCATTCAGTCATATAAAAGAAAAGAAGGCGTTCAGCGAAGAGACTCTTTTCGGCGAATTCATTCATTTGCTAAATCCTGAACTCTGCATACAAAAGAAATTCGTTCATTCATTAAATCTACAATGGACGTAATCTTTCTTAATTTCAGTCTTACTAATTCTATTATTTTGTCTCTTGCATTTTATTATTTCACATCTTCATTTATATTATTCTCTACCCCACCCTTTTGTAATCTCTACCCTCATTAACAATGTTACCAACTTGACCCACGTCCAGTTTCTAGTCAACTATGTTACGTCATCCGATTAACTTACTTATTTTCAACTGTATTATTCTCTAACCCCACCCTTATCTGATTTTAAACACCACTCATCAACATTGTTGCCAACCTGACTTAATCGGAATTCTACTCAACTGTATTACGTCATCCAATTCACTTAATCAAGTCTATTTTATTTTCCATCTTAACGTGTGTCTCCAAGCCAAAAAAACACTTATATTACATAATTATCTAAACTTTATAAATCTAATGTACACACACACACAAGCGAAATTGTATAAATATGCGATTGTACAGCTCAGTCTCGTACATGGTGCGGACATTCCATGTCCCCACACAGACTTTTTCTTTTGACGCAAGGAGATTGTTCACGCTGAAGTTTCTGTAGCATGCGACAGACAGCGGGCAATGAGGAAACAGGTATAAAATGGACTCACACAAAGAACTTGGAGGATCTGGACTTCACCGATGATATATGTCTGATTTCCCACAAACTGGAAGATATGCAAGTGAAAAGTAACAAGTTGGCGATAGAAGGAGCACCAAAGATAGGACTTCAGGTGAACATAGAGAAGACAGAGGTGATGAAGATTCCTGGCCAACACCACCACCAACAACAGACAACAATCAGCATAAATGAAAGAAACCTGAAAGAAACAACCTCCTCTACCTACTTACGTGGGAAGCATCGTCTCAACTACAGGCGGACAGAACTGACGAGGATATCAAAGCAAGAATCGGGAAAGCAAGTCAAGCTTTCATTACTCTCAAGTCTGTGTGGAGGTCAACAGCATTCAGCGTCAAAAATAAGATCAGGATTTTCAACTCCAATGTGAAGTCAGTACTACTATACGGATCAGAGACTTGGCCAGCGCGTCATAAAGAGCATCTCGAACAAACTGCAGACCTTCATTAGCAGTTGTCTTCGCTCAATACTCAAGATCAGATGGCTGGCCAGAAAAGATCAGCAACAGAGATCTCTGGCAATGAGCGAACCAACTCAGCAGGAACCGATTGTGAAACAAATAGGCAGGAAGAAATGGAGATGGATTAACGATACTCTGAGGAAACCATCAAGTGACATCACTACACAAGCCATTGCTCGAGTGGAACCCGAAAGGGAAGCGACGAGTTGGTCGTTCAAGGGTGACCTGGAGGAGATCATGTGAAGAAGAATTGAAAGCGTATGGGCAGACTTGGAGCCAGGTGAAAACTCTAGCAGAGAACCGAACGCAATGGAGACGCACGGCTGAAGCCCTATGTTCCTCTAGGAACTAAAGGAAATAATAATATAATGTACAGCTTAGTGAATGAATTCGCCGAAAAGAGTCTCTTCGCTGAACACCTTCTTTTCTTCGATATAATTTAACTTCGTCCACGAAGTGAATACCAGAAAATATGTACGGTGTATACATATATATTTATATATATATATATTTTTCTTTTCCAATCAAATTTCGACAAATATGATTGTTTAAACGTCATGTAAGAAGCAAAGAAAAAAAGAAACAAAAACGAAGTGAACAGCAGATGAAATTAGCAACTATCACATACATCATATATATATATATATATATATGAGCGTTATTCAAAAACACACAGTCAATAAGTACATGTACAGTTACAAAAGTCATGTGCATCAAAGAAAAACAAAATAAACAAACGTTAGAAAAAAGCAGTAATGACGACACCCCTACTCTAATCAATAATAATAACAATCGCTAAGCAGAGAGAAATGCAAAGGAAAAGAACAAGCAAAACAAACAGGCAGTTTTTAGAAACCAAAACAGAAGATTGAAGGGGTGATGGTGGTGGTAAGAGAAAGCCTATCGTATTTTTGCCTATTAATCATACTCGTACACACACACACTTATGACTAACGTTGCCTCCTCCTGCTCCAGAATATGACGTAACAGATTGTGATGTGATAATTATGGGATATTGGAAAAGAATTCCAACCACCCATTAGTTAGTCAGTCAGCCATCCATTCAGTCTGCACTCTACAAGAAGCCCAAAAAAGAAAATGTCCAAAGGAAGCCAATAACACAACAATAAGAAGGGAAGGGAGAAGTAGTAAATACAGAAAAATCAAATGAAGTAATAATGATAATAATAATAATAAAAAATAGTAAAACAGATCAAAAGATTTTCGAGATCGTATGTTCTCAAAACAAGAACGAATAGAAAGACATTTACAGGTAACAAAAATAAAAGAAATGGAAAGAGCTGTATACTCACACACATATATTGATATATATGTATAAATGTTTATATTTGGCGCGTGTTAATAAAGAAAAAAATTAAAACAAACTATAAATTGAACATTGTACACTGGAGATAGACCGCCTGCCTGCCAGACACCACACATACAGGAGAAAAAGAAGACGAGTAGTATTGTTGTAAAGCATTCTGTGAATAGAAAGATTTCAGTTTCTCGTTTATCTGTTTGATTTCATTCATGTATCACCCATCAGTCAGTCAAGTATACGGGGGGAGGAATATATCCGCCCGCAACACACACAACACAACAACAATGGCGGAAAAATGAACGTTTTCCATTTAACTACTCATAAGTAGTAAAAAGTGATAGTGGTAAAAAGAGGAGAATAACCAGCTTTCATTGTTGTAGTAACACACCCTCATATCATTCCAAAGCCAGTCAGCCAGCCAGCAACCAACCAAACTCGATTCACAGTCAATCCCTTAACAACAATAATAATAATGAAAGTATGACAAAGTTAACAATGCAATAACAGAGGAGAATACAGCATACAAGTATATATATATATCTTATAGAGAGTAGTGAGTACAACAAGAGTCTCTTGTTGACAAGAAAAAAAATAAACTCAGGTTTTTTCTGAGAATAAATCAACAAACACATAAACAGATAGATTCCCATCGCCGTCACCGTAAAGTCGGTAGGACCTGCTGTCTCTCTGGCTTTTCTGAATATGTATATATAACAACTTAAGTGAGATAATATAAAATAAATAATTGAAAAAGATCACCATATTTGTCAAATAAATAAATAAGTAAATAAATAAATTGTCCTCGAAAATAAGTCCCATCCAACCAACCACCAAAGAAAAAGTAAAAAAAACAACAACACCAAAACAACAAAAACAGCGATATTTGTGAAAATAAATAACACTAATAATAAAGAAGATATGACTTTCGCTTTCTCATCCAGAGGTTGATGAATTCAACCGCTTTTGAAGAGAATTTCTGGTGATGATAATGACGATGAATGAGGATTTTTTCTTTCTCAATGAGGTAAATGCGTAAAACAGTCAGAACGAATAAAATTATTATTATTATTACTATTATTATGATTATTATTATTATACGATGCCATTGAATGACGTCGAGGTAATACCGGTCTAGGGATAACATATCTCTCTGTGGAATTATTAATACGACCACTACTAGTATTAGTAGCGGTAGTATAAGGAGCAAAATAAACTTGACAAGTTAATGTACTGGCTTTTTGATACTTTTTTAAACGTTTACGTGGTTCAATCGACGATTGAGACAGTGAAGGAAGTCGTCTATGATTACTATGACTTCTAGTGTTACTGGCATTATTAATTGGTAACTTTTGCTGCTGCTGGTGTTGATGTTGTTCTTGACCAACGGCAATCTTGATTGGATTGTTAAAGCTTCTGCTGTTGTCAAATGTTGATTCGTCGTCGTCAGTAGTGGTTAAACACATCGTATTACTGTCATTAGTATTAGTATTATTATTGTTATTCGTATGAATGCCAGCCACTTTTGATGAATTGGAAGTGTTTGGATTTAATTGAGGAGTTGTCAGAAAGTGTGCTTCTTCTGCTACCTTTTCTTCTTCTCCATTGCTCACTCGTATAATTGTCTTCAGATTATGTTGGTGCTGCTGGGTGCAATATTTAAAGAGAAAGGAAATATAAACATAACTACATTGAGATACGCATACAACAAGTTAAAAACACTTTTTGTACAAAATAAAAGAAGCAATAACTTGTTTGCTTGATATTTAGATGATGAAGTTTATGCGGGAGGATTAATATCAGTAAGAGTTAGAATCACTGATAACCCAGGAGACAACCCAGACAGCCGTTTCGTCCTGATTTGGGATTCATCAGCAGCACGACTCCACCAGGATTCAAACCAAGAAGCTTACAGTTTACAAGGTGGTCAGACCATGAAATCTAGCTTCTACCAGTACTCCCTGATCGCGAATGATTCTTTAACTGATATCAGTCCATGGGGAAAACTTGAAAAAACCGAATCAAATCCCTAAAAACGAAGTCTTGAGAAGTCTTAATACGATGCTCGCAAGGGACTGGCTAAGGGGATGAAACTGCCTACAGTTCTAGTGAGAAGTCATGACCAGTGGGTTCCCCACCAGGTCGGATGTCAGGATATATACTCGCCGATCATGTTGGTGGTGGTCACGTTGAAATCAAGAATTGTTAGAGGTTAGAATTCATGGGATAGCCATTGAATCGGGTCCCAGCAACCGGATTGGTCTACGCGCTTGCCGTGTAACCGGAAGGTTCTGGGTTCGAAGCCTAGTGAGAGCGTACTGCCAACGAGGCCTAAACTAAGACAAACAAGTTGTCCAGTATTCTTTGACGGTATTCAATCGTTCTACATAGCTGATATCAATCCGTGGTCAAACTTGAAAAACAAAATCAAATCCCTTCAAATTAACTTGTGTAAATCATTCTCAATTTTTAGGTTTCATCACATGGCAACAACAATTAGAGAAATAACTGAAAACCAGGGAGTATTGGACAGCTGATCTGTTCTATTCTTGAACTCTTCATCGGAATGCATCCAACGATCGAAACCCGAGCTCGATGTTGGTTCATAACGAAATCTACCAAGTGAAATTATTTATTCGAGTGTGATGGTGACTAGCACTGGAATCCAAGATGCAAATTTCGTCCTATTTGGGACTCGTCAACTAGATGTACTTGGAATTCCCAGTGACGGATGATGCTTCCACGGACACTTGAACGCTGCATCCCACTGCATCATGGTCACCTTCAGGCATTGCAGAAGCGTGAGTACTAGGAGCTAACATGTGTCAACTGAGAACAAGCCTTTCGGTTCACAATATATAATCCATCAACACAAAATACTTTTTTGTACTAATTCGAAGTTAAATCTTAGGTACTGAGAAGGCGTGAATGCACTAATGGCCTTAGAAAAAGGCATAACGCTGGAAGGTAAACTTGACCTTCTAACATAAGTGTAAAACTAGAGCACTGTGCTACTAAGTAATTCTATATTAGTTTGTTTATTAGATGTTATATCACACAGTCAGTGAAACAGTATTATTATTATTTACTGGATGACACAGTTTCGAACAAAATTTATTGTTCATAATCATTTCATCAATTATAATCACACACGACTTCGAAACTTGAGTCTTATAGTTTTCTTTGTTCTCTCGTCGTTGGGGTAGTAGGATTTTCCAGATATCTGACTGGACAGGTGTTGAATCATTCCTATTACACGTATTCTCTACAGTTGATTCGATAAATAAAGCTTCTGTTATCAATCTCTTTCTCCACCCTGTGACATAAGATTTTAAAACTTTCATCCTATCGTATGGTTGTGTGTAATTGCATGTAGTGTGCGCTATAACTGCTGAACTATTCTGTAGATTTCTTATCTTGTTCGAGTCAACCAATCTAGATTTTGCTAGGTTCTTATGCTCCGCTAGTCTGACTGACTGCACCTGTTCTACTAATTTGACCTGACAATCATTCCAGCAGGATATTAGATAAACTAAATTGTTTTGTTTTAAAGGCTCCACAGGATCCACCATTTAACTGACAAAGCTTGTTTCCAATTGAGTTTGTGGTAGGTCTGAATGCCAGTCACTTTTATTGCTGCCTGCCTTGTTAAGAATTCTGCGTAAGGTTTCTGAGGTTCCTTCTTTGTATGGAATTACTACTGTTGATTTAGATTCCTTATTGTTGGTGTCGTCATTAATATTATTATTATTGTTATTATTATTATTACTATTATCACCACTACTATCATTATTTATTTTAATTTTACATTTCCCTACATATTTCCTGACTAATTCATCAGGGTAGTAATAATAATAATAATTGCTATTATAATTATAATAATAATGACGACATGCATGTCGAATATGCGCAAGACAACACCAACAATAAGGAATCTAAATCAACAGTAGTAATTCCATACAAGGAAGGAACCTCAGAAACCTTACGCAGAATTCTTAACAAGGCAGGAATAAAAATGGTATTCAAACCCACAAACTCAATTAGAAACAAACTTTGTCGGTTAAATGGTGGATCCTGTGGAGCCTTTAAAACAAAACAATTCAGTTTATCTAATACCCTGCTGGAATGATTGTCAGGTCAAATTAGTAGAACAGGTGCAGTCAGTCAGACTAGCGGAGCATAAGAACCTAGCGGGAAAATCAAGACTAATTGACTCGAATAAGATAATGAATCTAGAGAATCGTTCAGCTACAGCACTCACTACATGCAGTTACACACAACAATACAATAGGATGGGATAGGATGAAAGTTTTAAAATCTTATGTCACAGGGTAGAGGGAGAGATTGATAACAGAAGCTTTGTTTATCGAATCAACTGTAGAGAATACGTGTAATAGGAATAATTCAACACCTGTCCAGTCAGATATCTGGAAAATCCTACTACCCCAACGACGAGAGAACAAAGAAAACTATAAGACTCAAGTTTCGAAGTCGTGTGTGATTATAATTGATGAAATGATTATGAACAGCAATAAATTTTCATTATAATAAAGGTTTTTGTATTTCCCAATGAATGAAAAACAAAACGATACTGTTTTTTACTGACGTTTCGCTATTTAATGCTAATAGCTTTATCAAAGTATTATGAGCAATAAATTTTGTTCGAAACATTGTCATCCAGTAAATAACAATACTGTTTCACTGACTGTGTGATATAATATCTAATAAACAAACTAATATGGAATTACCTACTAGCACAGTTCCCAAGTTTTACACTTATGTTAGAAGGTCCTTATAATTTATTTTGATTATAGTTTGGAACCCCACAATATTTTTGGTACAACTGTAGAATTTTCAGCATGTGATATCGGTAGCCCAAATTTCGCAAGCCGACCATTGATATCAGGTGTGTGTGTGTGTGTGGGTCGGCAGGGGATCAAATCCCGGACCACGTGCATAGTCGGCAAGAGTCCTAACCGCTGTGACACTGACGCACACCTGACTAGGTTTGAGCATCCAGGAAGTATCTTTAGCTCTCGAACAAACTATAAGATTTCGTATGGCCATATAATGAATAGTAATGATAATGATTAAATATATAAATTTGAAGTACATTCCGCAAAAACTTAAAAAAAAAATATGGACTCACTTTTATTGAATTTGCTGATGATGACATAATTTGATTATCGTGCATACTCCATCTCCAATAATCTGATGATCGGCATAAATCAATATTTAAACTAGCTGCTGGTGGTGGTGGTGGTGTCGCTTCATCATAAGTCGATACAACAAGTGGAGGTGATTCAGAAGCATTACGTCTACGTTTTCCTGAACAACACGACGACTGTTGTGATCGTTGTTGTTGCTGTATTGAACCAAAAGCAGTGCCAGCACCGGAAGCAACAGTATTACGTGATGATGAATTTTGTGAACTTACCGATGAATAGACAGTTGATGAATTCGATGGAATACTACTTGACTTGCTAGTTCGTGTTACTGCTATAGCAGCTTTCAAACGACGTTCAACATCTGGTAGGATAAGTGCAGCCGTCAGATCAGAGATAACACGATGTGGACAATTGAAATGACGTCGAATAAGATGATAATGAGAGGCATTACTGGCATCATCATTATTATAATTGTCAATCATTGAATTAGCTGATGATTTTTCATTAGCAATAGCAGATGACCATGTATGATGGACAAGATTCGATGGTATCCAACTAGACGAATCATAGGATGATAGTAATACGGCATCCTCTTTATTATTATTATTGTTATTATGATTATGAAGATTATCATCAAATGATATAGAGGATTCATTCAATGGAGAAATTGAACCGGTTAGATTGAAATCAATCCATTCACTGGAATCATGAAGACTTGATGTGTTGTTATAATAACCATCATAATTGAAACAAACAGAATCTCCCTCCTCCTCCTCATTGTTCGGTGTTGTTGCCGCCAACGGTGTCTGTGGTGGTAGGTAAGGCGATTCTGTATAACAGGGATAAGGAGCTGATAAAGTTGAATTGACGGCATTAACACTTCCACTGTTATTATTATTATTATTGGTAACAGGATCACCCCATATACTAGGCCGATCTTCTTTAAGCAATTCAATCAATATATCATCGGGGATTAGATCAAGTGCTGATAACAGATTACGATTATCTGTTAAATCCACATGATCTAGAAATAAGAGAGAATGCAGAAAACAAAGAAAAGACATATAGAAGAATGATAATTATTGCTCAAGACATAAATACGGAAGTGTATCGGTGGCACAGCGGTTAGGACGCTGCTCGCCGACCATGCAAATCTCAGCACGCATATGTCAGTTTACGCCGTCTCTCACGTAGACGTGATATCCGGCTGGCTGTCGACCAAAGGACGTGTGTACTGCTCAGAAGTCCGCTCCGTCCTCCTTTACGGCTGGCTGTGAGACCTGACCATTGACAGTGGAAGACATGGAAAGATTAGCTGTCTTTAATCATAGGTGTCTGCATTCTATCTCCCGTGTGAAGTGGTATAATAAGGTGAGAAATATTGAGGTTAGGCATCGGTCGAGTGCTAGGTAAGGAGGGGAAATCAGTCGAAGAGACTGTGAAATTACATCGACTGAGATGGTTAGGATATGTGTTATGCATGCCTAGTCATCGCCTTCCTCGACTGACGGGCAATGTTAGCTGATATAGGGTCAGGCTGGAAAAGAGCTAGCGGCGGTCAAACGAAAACATTGCGCCAGTCAATGACATCTACAACAGTTAGTCTAAGCCACGTAGTAAGGTGTAGATTTCCTGGTTGGAGTCCTCGGGACGGTAAAAACCAATGGTTGGAAATAATTGGTGACATGGCTCAAAATCGTTCTCAGTGATGGCTGGCTAGCACAGATGCATCCACTCCTTGTGACTTATGATTTCCAATTAAACTGTTTTGTTCTTCGTTATTACTATTCCTTTGTCTCACACCTCTGTTTACTGTCTATATTAGGCATTTCTACTTTCTTCTCTTCCTTTGTGTGCTACATGGAGTGTGGCGAATTGAACTGCCGCACATATGTGCAAAGTTCTATGTCGAAAACAGACAGACAAACAGACCATGCGTATGGTCCGAAGTACGATCCCCGGCCAACGGACGCACTCCTTTACCTGGCTCACTAAGCCAGTAATAAAAAGCCGGTGAAGAGGAAAGGTTGGGGGGCATAAGGATAGCAACCCCATCCTGTAAGAATAATCACCACTGTTACAGAAACTTCAAGCCGCTAGCTTGAAGCTCTAATGTTCCACTGGGGGAACATAAGTTTGTGTATCTGGGTAGCTGTGTGAGTGCTAGCGGATGGGTGACGGATGAGATTTCCAACCGTATAATGAATGCTAAGGTAGCATACATCAACTTGAGCCACCTCTGGCGCCGTCGCGACGTTAGCCTGGCTGTCAAAGGTCGGGTATACAATGCTTCGGTGCGGGCTGTCTTGCTCTACGCCTGTGAAACCTGGCCTCTCCGAGTAGACTGAGAATGTGCGGCGACTCTGCGTGTTCGATCATCGCCGTCTCCGCGGGATTGCTTGCGTTCGATGGCATCATCGCGTGAGTAATTCTGAGGTTCGACGGTGTGTGTTTGAACACAGCGGAGATCACCATTCGTTGAGTGTCGTCATCTGGAAACACCGGCTCCGGTGGCTTGGACATGTGTTGCGAATGTCACCCCAAAGGCTTCCGTACAGTTCTCTGTTCGCTAGCCCTGGGACGGGATGGAAAAGGTGGAGGGGTGGTCAGTCCATGACGTGGCGTCGTGGGATGAAGGATATTTGTGCTAGATTAGCATCGGTTGGTGCGTCACGACTCCGTGGTTGGGGTCCGCGAGATAGCTCGAAACGTTATCGGATATGGCCAAGAATCGTAATCAATGGCGAACGTGTTACAACTTCCTTCTTTCTTCCCTTCCTGATGATAGTTAACGAATACTGTTTAAACTTGTTAAACATGAATGTTTTCCTTCCAGATGAAGTCCTTTATCCGTCCTCTACTTATATTTTTACTTTTAATCTATGTTGTTTTATTATTATTGTGTGGCGCATCTTTCTTGGTGCCATATTGTACCAAGTTTTTTCTGCGTTTAAATAATAAATAAAACTGGGGAACATGAAGGAATAAAAAAACAATAAATACGGAAGGCTGTCATCACCCATCCTCAAATTGAGGAGTCTTTTCAATTCCAGCGGATAATTAAATTTGTTGTTATTAGATGGTTGGAGGCGATTGGGGAGGAAACCCTGATGTGTGACCTAGGCCCTCGCCAGTCACTCGGAAAGGAACTCATGTCCCTTCTGAGACTCGAATCCCTGTTGTCCAGTGCTGCAATCAGACTATCCATTTCATGGAATGATTTGTCTGCCAACATAATCCTATATCAGTTTACGTCCCACGGCAAGTAAGGAGGTGGACTTGGCGTGTACAATACGTGTCCTAGCCATCTCAATCGACGTAGCTTTACGACCTTATCCATTGCATTGGTTTACCGTCTCCTTATCAACATATCTTAAAATTAAATGTAGTTTTAAAGTTGATTCCATGCATTATCATCTCTCTAGAAAGCTCGCCAACTACGCCTCACATGGTCTGAGGTTTGATCCCCAGCTGACGCAATCCTAGACATCGCTTGATCCGTAGTCTGTCTGTCTGGATTCAACATAGAACTTGGGACCGAAGTGCACCAGTTCGAGTTGCCAAGTTCCAAGTAGCACACAAAAGTAGACAAGAAAATGAGTGAAGAGAATCAATCGAGTTTTGACAAGTTTATGGGTGAAACAGAATGAGTAATGGTAGAAAGGAATATGAAAGATTACCCAACAGACTGAATACATCTGCGTAAGCCATTGACAACGATTTTGAGCCATGTCACGTATTGTCTGTCTCCAGCCATTGATTCTTAGAGTCTCGAGGGCCCCAACCAGTCAGGAAGTCTGCATCTCCCTCCCTACCTGACTCAGTTTAACTGTCAGGGATTTCATGGATTGATGAGGCCATGTTTTTGTTTGGCCACCACTTACTCTTTCTTCCCCAACCTGCACCTATATCAGCTAGTAATGCCCGTCCGTCGGGGGAGGCGATGGTTAGGCATGCTCAGCACGTCACCTAGCCATCTCAATCTATGTAACTTTAAAGCCTCGTCGATTGATTTTCCCTCTTTGCCTAACCAACACTCTACGCCTAACGTCAACATTACTTACCTTATTATGCCACCTAACGTGAGAAAGAAATCGTAGACATCTATGATCAAAAACAGTCAACCTTTTCATGTCTTCAACTCGTATTGGCCATGTTTCAGAGCCAGAGAGAAGGACGGAGCGAACTTCTGAGCAGTACACACGTCCCTTGGTTGATAGCCGGATATCATGGCTACGCCAGAGACGGTGTAAGTTAGCGAAAGCAGCCCGAGCTTTTTGGATCTGTGCTGAGATTTCGTCACCAATCAATCCGTTGGTGCTGATACAACTTAGTAAGCCCGGTAAAGAGAGAAGGTTGGGCATGAGGCGCTAGCAGCCCCAACCCTATAAGAAAACAATAACACCATTGCTACTGAAACATTGAAGCTCAGCTCAAACTGGAAGCCTCATCTTGCAGTACTCAGAAGGGAAACACAATTTACAGAAATCATCTATCGAACTTTTCTAGCTTCTATTGATTTTTTGTTCAACTGCTCAACTGCTTTGGCCAATTCTGTATTCTACCTTCATATTCACATGTGTTGATCATTCTGACAGTTGGTTTCATCAGAAGCATAGTAAGTAATAGTAGCACCTACTGATCCCTCCTCCTCTCTACTAATACACACATTCACACGCACACACACACACTTGTCTTTGATGCATCAAGGTTCACATGTGATAATCATAGAGGAATCAGCCTAACGAACATAGTCTCTAAAATCCTAGGCTCAGTAAACATGCACAGACTAAGCCGAACTCGGGAGGAACAAACGAGGGAAAATCAAGCGGGATTTAGGCCAGGTAGAGGGTGCATAGATCATATCTTCACTCTCCGACAGATCCTAGAACATAAACACACTTTTAGGCGTCCAACAATTGCCACATTTCTTGACTTGCAGGCGGCCTTCGACTCCGTGGACCGAAAGGTACTATGGCAATGTTTGACTGTGAAGGGAGTGCCAAGAAAGTACATTGCACTAATCAAGGCACTCTACTCAAACTCACGTAGCTGTGTAAGGGCTTATGGGGAATTGTCATCTGAATCGATAACAACCAGTGGTGTCCGTCAAGGATGTCCGCTTTCCCCATTTCTGTTTAACTTCATCATAGATATGCTAATGGAAGTATCCTTAACTGAACTTAACGACTTAGGAATCGACTTGTTACCAGGGAATAGTCTTATGGACTAAGAATATGCAGATGACATAGTCCTGTTACGGGAGGATGCTGACAAAATAGAGCAGAGTCTTCTGAACACCTTGAGCAGCAATCTTCGCATGTTTGGCATGCGATTCGCCCCTGTAAAATGTAAGATGCTGCTACAGGACTGACTGGACTACGTCAACTCCTAGCTTAGTGATAGGGAGTGAAGTGATAGAACATGTTGACCACTTCACCTATTTGGGAAGTTGTATCAGCACCAACGGATTGATTGGTGACGAAATCTCAGCACGGATCCAAAAAGCTCGGGCTGCTTTCGCTAACTTACGCCATCTCTGGTGTAGGCGTGACATCCGACTATCAACCAAGGGACGTGTGTACTGCTCAGAAGTTCGCTCCGTCCTTCTCTCTGGCTCTGAAACATGGCCAATACGAGTTGAAGACATGAAAAGGTTGACTGTTTTTGATCATAGATGTCTACGATTTCTTTCTCACGTTAGGTGGCATAATAAGGTAAGTAATGTTGACGTTAGGCGTAGAGTGTTGGTTAGGCAAAGAGGGAAAATCAATCGACGAGGCTTTAAAGTTACATAGATTGAGATGGCTAGGTGACGTGCTGAGCATGCCTAACCATCGCCTCCCCCGACGGACGGGCATTACTAGCTGATATAGGTGCAGGTTGGGGAAGAAAGAGTAAGTGGTGGCCAAACAAAAACATGGCCTCATCAATCCATGAAATCCCTGACAGTTAAACTGAGTCAGGTAGGGAGGGAGATGCAGACTTCCTGACTGGTTGGGGCCCTCGAGACTCTAAGAATCA